CTCTCTCTGTCTCTCTCTCTCTCTCTCTGTGTCTCTCTCTCTCTCTCTCTGTATTTCTCTCTACATCTAACTTACATCTCTCCTCTGTCACCCCCACCCCCTCTCTCCCTCTCTTGAAATTTGTTCATAGTAGCCATACCATTTGACTTGCAAATGCAAGGTGCGTCTGGCAGTGCTACTCGAAGACCTGTTTAGTTTCATCGAAAGTGTAATCTGGGTAGCTTTCGACTTTCGAAACCCGCTCGTCTTCCATTTCTGTTTTCACTTTTTCAAGTCTTTTTTTTTCAACAACTTCTTCAGTTTCGATCGCTCGACGTAATATTGTACTGTGTGCAATACATACTTCGGTTGATTTGCAATTGTTTGGCGAGCCTTATGTAATCGTTACTTCGCAGAAAGACTTCTCCTATACCGGTATTCTCTATTTATCCTTGAGACTGACTCTTTTTATTATTTATTTTGTCAAGCATGCTTATTGTGTTGCTGTGTCTTTGGCATTGTTTTAAAACATATTTCTAGATGATATTACTGGTTTCAGTATTAATTATTTATGATGGTATGGTGTGGGTACTTGGCATTTGGTGATATTTGCACAATATCTGGATATACAGTTTCAGCAAAATAACGATAAATTGTTTCCAAAATCAAGCGTTTTATGTATTCATTCATTCATTCATTCATTAATTAATTCATCCATTCATTCATTCATTCAGTGAACCATTCTTTCATGCAATCCTTCATTCTGTGCTAGGCGTGGGCTACAAGGACAGGGGGCGCCGGTCTACAGCTCCCCACGAGACATACGCCAGAGAGTTCGCCAAACGACGGACCAACAGCGATTCGGACTGTTACACGCACTTCTACATCGACTCTGCCAGTGCTCCTTGCTCCCCGTTCCTCAAACCGTATAGATTGGAAAACCGGTTCACGGAAGCTGCCGGTTCCGGCTCGGTCCAAACTAGCAGATCCAGATCCCCGTCAGCAAAAGCGTCAAAGAAGAAACTTTCTATGAGTAAAGACAGAAAACAGCGGACGAGAAACGCCGAATCCGGATCTGAGGAAAACAAACCGAGTACGGGAAGCCACGGTTGGCTTTCTTCCCACAGACTTTATCACTCTCCCAATCATCAACAACAGCTACAACAACAACAACAACAACAGCAGCAGCAGCAGCAGCAACAGCAGCAGCACGAACAGGGTGGAAGCGTGACGAACACATCTCCGGATAAACCGTCCCAGGGGAGCTCTTGCTTGCCCAGCCCTCGACGCAGGAAGTCTACTGGGGAGAAGCTCAAAGAGACATTCAGCAGTATTACCGGTGGTAGCCAGCACTCTCAGCACGACTCGGACTCCTCCTCCGGCCCCTCTGGGAGTCACCACAACAGCCCCACGAGCGGGGCCAGAGGCTCGCACGTGCTGAAAAAGACGCTCAAGTCCAACTTCATGAAGAAACACAGCCTGGACCACCACATGCACGGCATCTCTCTCCCCTCGCACTTCAGCGTGAGCGTAGACAGCACCAGCAGCACGGCCGACTCCGTGGACTCCGTTATTTCACTCACGGGCGACGTGGCGTCGGGAGACGAAAGCCCCTCCTCCTCCCCCTCCGCCCCCTCCCCTCTCTGCCAGCAACAACAGACAGCCCCGCCCACTTCGTGGACCACGCCCACATCGCCTGACGCCGGGGTGTTCGGGAGTCCGGAGACGTCGTCGATTGTTTCCTCCACCACCCACACGCCGGACGAGCCCCACACGTCCTCCTCCTCCCCTGTGTTCAACATCTGCCCGCCCACCCCCGCCCGCCCCGGCACCTCAGAAAGCTGCTACTCCGTCTCCGACATTTCCGTTCACGCTAAGGGCGATAACTCCTCACCCCCTTCCTGTTTGGCGTCACCAAGGAGACCGCAAAGCGCGCCAAATAACACAGGTCTCAACCGAGAGGTTTCTTCGGGATCTTTGAGTTCCCTCACGCAAAGTTCTTTCCTTGCCACAAAGGCGGATTACTTCAGATCTGACGGAAGGTGGAAGCTTATCCTGGAGCATCGAGACGCCTGGCGAAGTAAGTTTTCTTGTAAAGGTTTTCCTTCACAACTTCTATCTATTATCTATTTGTGGTGGCCGAATTTTGCTATTCCAAAGGCTTTTTAATGGCTGCATTGATCGACATTCGGTTTTCGCCAAAACAT